TATGTCGTGACGACAGATTGTCGTGCAGTTTACAGTGTCGTGGCTTGTATATTTAAATGAAGTTGTTCACATATAGCACGACACGATTAACTGTCGTTCACTATTTTTTATCGTTACAACGACAAACTGTCGTCACAGTGGGAACAGCTAGAACGACAGTCGTCAGACGATAAAAAAACGTCACAATAAAAACGTGACGACAGATTGTCGCAGCTCCTATTGTCGTCACGATCTAGTGGGAACAGCTAGTCACGACAGTCGTTCAACGATAAAAAATCGTCCACGACAGATAGTCGTAATATGGGAACAGGCTAGACACGACAGTCGTCCAACGATAATAAAACGTGACGACATAGTGGGACCGCGCCCTTACAAAATTGAAGACTACGTGTTAGATAAAGATGTATGGAAAGACGACACGGCTCCAGAATCCACACAAATTTGATTCAAAGTGTATTCCATAGCATTTAAGTTTATTTGAAAAGAGCAATCCCTAGAGTTTCTTGCTCGTTCTTCTCAGGGAGGTCAGCGTTGTGAACGAGCAGTAGCTTAAATGTGACGTTTTCAAGTGTAAATTTATTTTACCTATGGAATAAATAATCTGCGACTTGGACTTTGACTTTGCCGTATCAGGTATGACCTGTAAAAGGTGTTGGTGCTGCTCCTAGTCTGTTAAGCAGTGAAGCGTTTTTTTGCAGGTAATGGCACTGAAACCATCAACCCGCGCCTCTGCAAACATAGTTGACGCACTGCAAAAGCGGGGCAGCCACATCATCATTCCAAACAAATTATTGTATTGGACTCGTAGGACACGAAGCGATTATTTAGTATAACCGAGGCACATGCTGCTTATAGAACGATTAGCAGTAGGCTTTGAACATTTATACTTGCTTACTGGCATCGAGCGATCCTTTTTTTTTTTGACGGGGGGAAATCTTTATGGATACCCCTGAGCCCAGGGAGACTCAGGAGTTATGTGGGGAAACCCAATGCAGACTCCGGAGTCCTTGTCCAGAGCCCGCTGGTCTCACTAGGGGATCAGGCGAGCAGCGAACTGTCTTCGCCTTCTCCCCGTACGTCTGCGCCGGAGCGGGTGCGCGTCTGCCGCGTCCTCGCACACCCTCTCCGCGGCCTCCTTTTGCGACATAACCTCTGCGCAAAAGGAGGCCACCGCCTCCCAGGACTCCTCGCTATCGAGCATGGCGGCAACCACGCTCGGCAGCGAGAGGTCCTGCCCTACAGTCCCCGTCAGAGTGCGGCGCTGCTCATCCCACCGGCTACACACCTCTAGGGTGTGCTGCGCGGTGTCATCCCCAGCGCCGCACTCGTGGCACGACGGGGACGGTTCCCTCCTAGCCACCTTGTGCAGGTAGTGACCGAAGCAGCCGTGCCCGGTCAGCATCTGCACAAGGTGGTACGCATTGAGCGATCTTACGTGCCAGCATATTACTTCTGATCCCCAGTGCCCTACGTTCCCTCTCTTTATCGGCCTGTTCGTTGTGGTATTCGGTAACATAATGCTCCAGATATTTAAATTGGTGCACTCGATTCAGATTGACACCATCAAGCCTGATTAGTGGGACTGATGCACGTACTTTACCGGCGACCTTAAAGACCATGTATGTATATATTCTTATTGCCATTGTGTAACAGCCCATGTTCACCAGGTTACTTCTCACAGATACCAAGCAGCCTTCTGAGAGCCCCGACCGAAGGGCACAGCAGCACCATGTCATCTGCGTTACTGATTTTGTTTATATAATTATGCAGTATCAATCAAACAGCCGACACGTTCACTACTCAGCAGCCCTATGATCAGGTCATTGATATGCAGCTACGTTGAAAAACTATAAAGAAATCAAACCACCTTGTCTCACCCCGCAGTCCAACCCGTAATCAACAGAGAGATATATACATATTATTAGTTGTGTAGGTACCTATATTACGATTTGAACACCGAAAACAGTGACTGATAACAAAGGTTTAAATTTTAAATTACAATAACAGAATCGCCTATTTGTGACATTATTTGCGCTCCTACGCGGGACATTGAACACGCGAGCCCACGCTGCGAAGTGTTTCCTCATGCAAGGTCAGCAAACAATTAGGTAGTCCTCCAATGAGCGGAAACGCCGAAATATGCAAATCGGATCAAAACTTTAACTACCATCGCCAATACCGCCTGTATTATGTTGTTCATTCACTGTGACCGCGTACGGTCGCGAACTAAAGTCATTCTGTCCCCGATGACGCAATTCATACAACAAAATTGTAGAACCTCTACGCATAAAGTATCAAGCACATTCATTGTTTACTCACAGCGCTGTTTTATGCACAGTATGAGTCGGTTCGGTATTTTTGCGAAATGTAGTGCTAAATAGTAATATTAATTATTTGTGATTAAATATTAATGGTCAACATCAACAGTCTGATTCAGTTCACAGTATTGTCCTTTTCTTACACCCAAATTACGGGCCCAGATATCGGAAATGAGTCTTTAAGTCCAATGAGTCCTGCTTAGTATATTACATTACAAGGTAGCGCTATTATGTCATACGTCTACTTATCGGCAACTTAGTGAAGTTAGTTGCATCGGCAGTGTACATGAACGAAACGAGGCTTGTGGGCGGAGTGAGCGTATTTCGAAGCGGAATCCGGGCGCGGGCGGCGCTGCGTGGGGCGGCAGCCGCACGGCGGCCCTCTTGCCGAGCCGCCGCCACTCCATGCCCGAGCACGACAAGTACCAGCTGCGCCCGCGCGGGCCGGTGCGCCACGAGCCGCGCGCCCGCCGCGCGCCGCAGCCGCTCAGCAAGTACCGCCGCAAGACGGCCAACGCGCGCGAGCGCAGCCGGATGCGGGAGATCAACCGCGCCTTCGAGACGCTGCGCCGGGCCGTGCCCGCCTCCGAAGTGGTCGGCGCGCCCGTGCAGTGCGAGAAGCTCACCAAGATCTCGACGCTGCGGCTGGCCATGCGCTACATCACGGCGCTGTCCGCGATGCTGCACGACGGGGACAGTGGCGGCGACGACTCGCGCCCCGATCGCTGGTCCTCGCCCTTCTGCTCCGACCTGTCGGAGTTGTCGACGGAGCTGGAGCGCGAGACGCCCTCGGAGTTCGCGGAGGACTCGCTCTCGCCCTTCGACTCCTTCTTCGCCGAGTTCGAGTGCGAGTACGTGGACCGAACGTTTGCGTGACGGCTACGGCTGCGGCTGCGGTGACAGTCGCGTGACAGTGCTCGCTTTTGCTGTGTTGTGATGATACGACCTCGCCTCGATCGGGGTCACTCGGTCGGACTCTGGACTGCTGGTGCTAATTAGGTATTAATACAACTTCTGCCATATTTTAATTTTTAATGTTTTGTATGAGAAATATTTTGAGATTTACCTATTTATTGCCCGGTTAATAATAAATTTTAATTGTTACTGTTTGAGCACATTTTTATTTAAAGTTCGTTGGGTGTCTTTGAAATTTCACGTTCACATCGCGCATGATAGCCGATATCTAAGTTCTAACACATTTGAAAGAGTACGCTTGGTTGTGTTTGAGATCTCGCAATGAAAGTATATTACACTCGTGTACATTGCACATAAGTATAGTATAAGTTTTACCTCAATCAACGCGTCAATTTGTTAACCATAAATGTAAAATTTATCGGCTCTTGCGCCGGCTCTAGGACAAATCCACTAGCAACTATTAACGAAAGTTACCAATATGGACAATTAATTAATTCTCGGTTATCTTTGACACCTTTTAAGTACTATATGTATCAACATATTAATGTAGGTATTAACTACATGTTCAAGAGGTGCACACATAAGGCACATGGATAATACGTTCTTAGTTCTTAGTGCAGAAAATTTGACGATTTGAAAGAGATTATTCAATACTATTCAGTGTTTTTCAGTTATCAGTCGATACCTGACAGTGGCTAATACCTGACAGTGCTCATTTCTGTACATATCAGTACTAATATTTATTTAAATTATTTTTTTTAGCCACTTGCGTACGTAGCTACATAAGAAGTTTTAACACCATTCTAAACAAAGAAAGATTCCTGTCTCTCAAAATGAATACAGTGGGGGAAGTGAAGACGTACCCTACGCCTCGTCTGTTCTTATTATAGCGAGAGTGCAACGCGAAGGGCGCACCCGTTTGTGAAGATAAAAGTGTCATCAATCTTTCTAAAGATATTCGAATAATCATACATTTGTATGATCAATATGATCAAGATCAGATCATCAGATCTTGCCATCAACGTATGTGACATAACGGTGGAGAAAAGGTAGAGTTAGTTAAAATAATTTATTATTTGTACGCTAGTTTTCTTTCTGAATAATTTAAGCAACTCACATTTGGGGTCCACAGATCCACAGTGTCACAAATATTGACAAACTTACAAAATGAAACTAAGGACCTATTCATAAAAATGTACCCATGCAATAGCTACTTCATTAGTCTGGAAACTCTAAAAAAACTTTAAAAGCTAGGCAAACGTGGAAGACACATACAAACAGCACACATTGAATTTAGTGGAATAATGCAACAATGGATGAAATTGATTTCTGGCGACCTAATTCTGCTATCAAAACCCATCAGCATGACCGGTGATGCGGAGAATGATCTCTGATTGTTCAATGACTACGGAAGCGTGGGCAACAATACAATACACACAGTTCCTTCTTGCTAACATCACCTTTGAAGATAGAACTTTGTCGCAGTAACTGCCGCTAGTTGTCTTGCCCACGCGGATTGATCTCTCTCATTGTTCTCGAGACAAGTTGAAATGGGCGTATTAGGTTTGTGCTACGGGTGATTAATTTTATATGTTTTTGCTCAATAATTACAACATTTATTCGTGATAAAGAAAAAAAATCAGATATTGTTGTCATTCCGCAATAACGAGTTGTGTGTAAACTCTTTTTAATCCGAGGTTTGTCGCAACAAACACATCGCGCAATAAAGAACCAAGTGCTGGTGTCGATGTCGTGGTCTCCCGGCGCCGCCCGTTTTGGGATAAGCGGATTGCTTTCTCGCCAAATAAGGGTTTCATGACAGTTCATTGAATTATGCGATTAAATGACAAGAGAGCGAGCACCGCGCCGCGCGGTTCCCGCGATGCATGATTGGAACGTGAGATGCGATGAAGATGGGTGAAAAGGAACTATGAGGAAAAATTTAGCGCCAATAAACATGGGTTCTAGTAACATTTATTTCTTATTTTAAAGTTAAAAATAACCGTCACCGAAAAAATTGCTGATAGTTTAAAAATGTTCATTATTTCTCTTCACATCAATACCTAAAACACGAAGTCTTATAGAACATAATGTGTATAAATATAAGTTTAAATAAAGGATGTTTAGATGTCGGTTTTCCTTTTACTCACTAGATTTTTTTCTATAATTAAAATAAGTAAAGCTCTTTGTCGATTAACTTTAACTATATTTTCTTACTGCAAGTGACTTTCAGAGACATTGTCACACACACACCCATTGTAAGGTAGGAAGAAGCAGGAAGACCCTAAAATTATCCACCCTTTCGGCTGTGGTTGCTGCCTAAACTTGTCCTCGTTTCGGCGTCGTTGACAGTTTGACATGGAGCTGTCCGTCAAAGCTTCAGAAACTGGCGATTGATTAAACTGAGGCGTTACCAAATACAGCGTCGCCTTAATCGGCGCATGCGCATGACGGCATTGCGAAACTCACATTGCCTATGTAGGTACTTGTGTCACATATTACTAGATGTACTTTAATAAACTCACTAGTTTTAATAAATGTGTTCAAAAATTTTTGATCACACCAACTCTTAATTCTTAGAGGAAAAGTGTTGTAAAGTCTTTTTTTAATTCTTTTAAAAAAAAGTATTAAAATAAAACTAAATTCTTAAGTTTTAAATTCTTCTAAAGCTACAGTTACGGGCACATGAAGTTTGACATGCTGCGGACCCGGTACTATGTTACCAATAACTCTAACTTAAGTCAGAGTAGGAGGAACATGATAATTTCATGGACTGGGTAGAACTAAAATAGATAAATCTGTTATTGTAGAACTTAATATATGGGATATCTCTCGGTTTTGCGATTGTTACATATAGGGAGTGAAACTTTTTCGGCTCTAAATTGTTTCTTCATGTAAATCATTTGTAATATAAGGTACCTATAACTGGTTGATGATTCTGTCATCTCGGCCAGCCGTGACCGTGGGTTCAGCAAAGGGCCCGAAACGCGATTTAAATTTGAAAAATAGTGTCATGAGAGACAGGAGCCCAAACTAGATACAGGTACCCAAGTTCTGTGCTGTGGCGATATTTTAACAAAATTTATTTTCTATTTACTCATTATAAGGAAATGAAACAATTTTTTCGGATTTAAATGGATTAAGAACTCGATATGTACACCAGTACGGACTGTACGTTGCAAATAAAATCCGGCGGTTCGAAGACCTCAAGAACAAACGTGTGCGCGCCATAACTGCATTAACTTTTCTTAAAAAGTGCCGCGACAGTAACATAGTTCCAACATGCGTTAAAATAACTCCACGAAGAGACATCTACGGTAGTGATCGCATACTACCACCTCAGTCAACTGTGACCATGGGACCTGTAAAGGGCCGAAACGTCGGTTTCTTTGAAAAAACAAATATACGCGATTTAAATCCGGAAAAATAGAGTCATTTCCTATGTGTAACAATCGCGAAAACCTAAGAACTCGATATACTCATTATAAGTTTTTATAAAAAATAAAACAAGTTTTCTTTTATCCGAATTCGGTCAACGGTAACTAAAACGCCAAAATGAATCATTTGAGCTCAAACACAACGTGGCTGCTGTACGTTGTTGAGGACTTTTTTTCAT